TCCAACCATTACTGGAAAGAGGCCTCCTCCATTACTACCCTACAGGGGGACCTGGCCCAAATCAGGGACAGAAGACAGGCCAAGGGAAATCCAGCAATCACTGTTTATTTGCAATAGTTTTTGAACACTTTCCATATACTTTTCAAATTAATGTGGGGTTAAAAGTATGCTGTACTCTTCGTTCTTGTACAAATATCTGGCCACTTGTTCAAGCATTTTATAGGGTAGAGTCCCAGAAGAGCAGTTGCTCTAACTTGTGTTTACATGCTTTCTATAGGATTCCATTTTCTCTCCTTTTGTTGACTTATTATATGTCACTCTCTCCTTTGTTATTTCAGCGGCTGCTTTAGGCTCTAGAACACACATCTGTAACTTACCACAGCCTGCCTTCAAGTGGTAGAGTACCTCTACCCATTTCCCTCCTGCCTGCCCTTATGCTGTGGTCATCATGCATTGCACTTGACATATGCTATCAGCCCCGAAATCCACCATTATTACTGTTGTTGTGTCTATCCCACATTTTTAAAGGAATGTAAATGATAAGACATCTTACATCTTATATATTTTCCCGGGCAGGTACCATTTCTGTCGTTCTTCATCCCTTCCTGGTCACCCAGATTTCTACCTGGTATCAGTGTCTGTCTTTCTGGAAGCACTTTGCTTGTGGTGTGGGTTTGCTGGTGGTGAAGTCTTTCAGCATTTATGTTTCTGTAAATGTCATCATTCACCTTCATTTTTGAAAGACTTCTGGGGGAGGCATAGAATGCTACTTTGACCTGCCGCGCCCCCTCTACCGCCTCAGTCCTTTAAAACTGCTGCTCCACCATCTTCTCACTTGCACTGTTTCTGATGAGAAATCTGACATAATTTTTTAGTATGTAGCATGTAACAGCTTTGGAGACTTTTGCTCTTTCAATGGATTTGAGCAATTTAATTATGTGACTAGATGTGGTTTTCTTTCTGTTTTTCGTGCTCGTTCATTGTGTTCATTTGGCTCCTTGGATTGGTGGGTTTATAATTTTTATCATGATGGGAAAGTTTTCTGTCATTGTTTTTTCAAAATTGTCTCTTCACCCCCAGTCTTTTCAGGGAATCCACTACTCATTTATTAGGCCTTTTAAAGTTGCCCCATCACTCACTGACTTAAATTTACAAGTCAGTTATGGTTCGGTTTCAATACACTGATTATTCTCCTCATTGTGGGTCATGCGTTCCTGCCTCTGTGCACGCCTGGCATTTTTTCGTTGGATGCCAGACATTGTCATGATTTACCTTCTTGGGAACTGGCTCTTGACTTGGCTCACAGCAGTGTGGACACCGCCCCTCCAGGGCTGTGACCCGCGCCATGGGGGCCCTTTTCATGGCACCAGTGGTCAGTGCTCTGGGCTCTTGACCAATGACCGGGTGCCTCGAATGGACCCAGGAACCATGGAACTGTTCTCCCTGCCCTCCCTCCCCTCTGTTCCATTGCACCTGACCTGTGCGCTCTTTCCACGCAAGCCCATTGGTCTCAGAGCTTCTCTGGTGTCCTCTTGGCAAAGGGGATCTCTTTGTAATTCTCTGGCCAAAATGGGCCCCTTTGGTTCCTGCCTGGGCTGCTCTAGAGCCATTGACAGAGTCCTGTGACCATGACCAGCTAACAGGTCCAGTAAAATCCAGGCCAGAAAATGGAGGGATGGAAAGCAAGCACAAGAAATCATTTTAAATGGTAGAGAGCTGAGTCTGAGACTCGAATGGTGGCCCTGGAGTATCTCTTTGGCTCTGCTGCCAAAGCTGAATAGGCCAGTGGTGACACTTGGTGAGACCACACCCATCTTCATAGATGCCATTAAGAATTTGAAAGAAGGTGAAGACACATACCCTAGAAAAATAGATTTTTCAAGTTGTTTTTTTCTCTCAATCCCAGGACTGCGTATGTCTGAGGTTACATGTGATATTGATTGGACTGTATTTGAGCACCACCATTTTCCAAATGTTTGGCAGCTCCCGTAGTTAAAAATATACCTACCCTGTTACCTGGTAATATCCCTTCTATTGACTTCCCAAGAAAAATGAATGCATATATCCAAAAAGGGTTCTTAAAAAAACGTTCAGAGCAATGTGATTTGTACCAGGGAAAAGCTGGATAAAACCCAAATGTCCATCAACAGAGAAGTGATATACAAACCGTTGTATAGTCACATAATGGATTAGCCCTTGACCGGAATGGAACCTGGGACCCTTCAGTCCGAAGGCCAATGCTCTATCCACTGAGCCAAACCAGTTAGGACACAACCACCTGTCTTTCTCCTCCTTCTTCTCTTCTCCTGCTCCTCCCGATGCTTCTTTTCCTCTCCTCCTCCTCCTCCTCCTTTCTATTCCTCTTCCTCTTCATTTTTTCTCCTGCCCAGGTCCATGAGGTTACTTAGTGGTTCTGTTTTCTCTGACTCTTAGCAGCTGCCCTCTTCCCCGGCTTCTCAGTCTCTTGTTTCTTACCAAGAACAAACAATAGCCCTGAGGGGGAAAGGCAGAGACTTAGTGTCCTTCCAATGAGCTTCTCAGGACATCAGCCTTCAAAAGTTTTACATATAATGGTGGTTGATGCCAAGCACGAAAGCAAATAAAAATAATATAATGCAGAATTACATGAGAACCAAAATAGAAGTATAAATACAAAATGATAAAATGAAAACTGTCCCCTTACTACCTTTGAAAGGTAAAAAACAAACGAACAAAACACACACACAAAAAAAAGTTGGGAGAGATTTCTGATCCATTATTTAACTTAAAAATAATGAGCTTAATCAAAACAATTCTCAGGCTCTGGTGTCTGAGTTTCCCATAGTAGGAAGGTCTGTCCTAGAATCAAGGACTACTGGTCCCTGACTATTTCTTCTCAGATGTTGCCTGACTTTCTTCTGTCCTCTAGTGGGCACCTGTAGGATTACTACAATTGTCCCAAATCCTGCATTTCAGGATTAAGAACATGAAAAACATTCTGTAGGCAAAAGAATCACAGGGAAAACAATTTCATGTTCTCTGAAAATATCATAAAAGTACATCTCACTACAAATTGGCTTATAAATTTATCCTGGGTTCTATGTTGGTTTGACCAGCTAGTTGTCTTGTTAAATTGGAGGGATAAAATGATCATGAGGTAAAAGGGATTTAAAAAAAAGGAAGCGCCCTGGCCAGTTTGGCTCAGTGGACGGAGCGTAGGCCTGTGGACTGAAGGGTCCCAGGTTTGATTCTGGTCGAGGGCACATGCCAGGGTTACCGGCTTGGTCCCCAGTGGGTGGCTTGCGGGAGGCAGCCAATCAGTGATTTTCTCTCATCATTGATGTTTCTCTCTCTCTTTCCCTCTCCTTTCCTCTCTGAAATCAGTAAAAATATATTTTAAAAGAAGAAGAAGAAGCCCTAGCCGGTTTGGCTCAGTGGACAGAGCATTGGCCTGTGGACTGAAGGGTCCTGGGTTCAATTCTGGTCAAGGGCACATGCCTTAGTTGTGGGCTTAATCCCCAGGAGGGGGTGTGCAGGAGGCAGCTAATCAATGATTCTTTCTCATCATTAATGTTTCTCCCTCTCTCTCTCTCTCTCTCTGAAATCTATAAAAATATTTTTTTAAAAAAAGAAGCAAACAGCATTGGGGACTTGCTGTGTATCAGGGACTGTGTTAAATGTTCAACATGCTTTATTTCATTTAATCCTCACCAGAAACTGTCTGTATCATCACAGATAAAAGCCTGGATTAGAAGTGAGATTCACCTGGGACAGAATCCAGGTCTTGCTACTTATTAGCTGTGTGATCTTTGAAAATAACCTTACTTTTCTCACTCCCAGTTTCCTCAACTTTCAAAGAAATGGTAAAAATTACTCTCAACAGTGCCGTGAGGGTCAGCAGAATCATGGAAGGAAAATGACTAGAAAAGGTCCTGTAACACTGTGGTCCTCATAAAGGAACTAAGTATTCATCAATAATAAAAAGGGAGTAGATTTTGTTTTGGGGGAATCACAGCTATTTTTTAGGAGTGTTTATATTTAACTTTTACAATGACCATTTTTTCAGAATATATATATATATGTTCTGAATATATATATATGACTTCAGAGAGGAAGGGAGAGGGAGAGAGAGTTAGAAACATCAATGAGAGAGAATCATTGATTGGCTGCCTCCCGCAAGCCACCCACTGGGGATTGAGCTCACAACCCAGGCATATGCCCTTGACTGGAACCGAACCCAGGACCCTTCAGTCTGCAGGCTGACACTCTATCCACTGAGCCAAACCAGCTAGGGCTCAGCTTAATTTTTTTATCCCTTTTTACTCATGATCATTTTAACCCTCCAATTTAACAAGGCCACCAGCTGGTCAAACCAACACAGAACCTGGCCAGCCAAATGTAAACTGTAATTGAAAATAAAATTTAGCCAGGCCAGTGTGGCTCAGTGGTTGACCATCAACCCATGAACCAGGAGGTCACTGTTTGATTCCCAGTCAGGGTATATGCCTGGATTTCGGGCTTGATCCCCAGTAGGGGGCAAGCAGGAGGCAGCTAATAAATGATTCTCTCTCATCATTGATGTTTTTATCTCTTTCTCCCTCTCCCTTCCTCTCTGAAATCAATAAAAATACATATTTTAAAAAAATTTTTTTAAAAAGAAAAGAAAGAGATCAGTGATTGACAGGGATCGAGTAGGGGTGATGAGGAGTAACAGGTCCTGGGTTTGTCCTGGATGAGAATGTTCTGGAACTGGAGAGTGATTGTGATGTGATGTGATGGTCATAAGGAATTGTGAATGTACTTAATGCTGCTGAAATTACATTTTGAAGGATCATAGACTTAAATTATATTTTATTAAAATTAAAGTTTGTTTTTATTAATATATTATTAGATTTTATTTAAAATACATCTTATTTTAACTGAATATTATACACAACTACAGTAAAAGTTTGAACATATGTATGATAAACATAAATATTTAAAAATTGCATCTCAAGGGGGAGCCCTCTCTGCCACGGCAGCTACACAGGCTGCAGCCCAGGACCGGGGACCACGGGCCTCGCAGGAGCTGAGGCGAGTTGCCCACACGCTGCAGGCGATTCTTCTGCCTCGTGAAGGTCAGTGAAAGCTGTGCCCGGAGCCCGCTCTGGCTCTGGAGAGGCCACTGGAGTCGGTGTTGCCTCTTGAGGTCTTTTTTTATCTGGCTCTGGAGCTGGTTCTGTAGATCCCAGAAGAGAACATGTTACCCCCATGACTGCCTCGATGTGCCTTCTAAAGACAGAACATCTCTCCTGTCCATCCATGGAGTCCCAGTGCCAGAGCCCACCCCAGGAAGTCTTCCCAGCCTGCAGGCCATGGGGACAGTGATCTGAGCCGGCTCTGCCCCTGGCCTCTAAAAGCTCTTCTCTGTGTGGCCGAGCCCCATCTCCTCCCCACACGCCCACATCACCTCCCTGCGTCCTCCTCACCCTCTGCCTCTGCCTCTGTGGGCTCGCGGCACTCCAGCTCTGAGAGGAGCAGCTGGGCCTGGCGCTCCAGGGCTGAGCCTGGGAAATTGAGCTCCAGGTAGGCCAGCAGCATCACCAGGCCCGGGAAGTCTGGGGGCTGGAAAAAGTCCTGAGGGAGCTGGTCCAGCCACATGCCCAGGATGGAGATGATGGCCCTGGGGAGAGACGTGGGCAGCAGAGTCTGAGGCCTGGCCTTTCCTTCCACACTAACCTCCCCGGTGTCCCTGTGGGAGCCGGGGGTCCTGTGCCTCCTGCTCCTGTCCATCTAGAAGCCAGACCTACTCCTTCCCACCTTCAGTCTGGCAGTCCTGGCAGAGGTCTACCTGGCCAGGAAGGAGGGGCTGGCCAAAGCCTTCATAACTG